CGGAAAGTCCTGTGTTAGTTTCAAAGTAGTGTGGTGTTATGGAAGAACCTAAGAGAGGGCTGAGGTGGCCTGAAAGAGGACAGTTGGCTTACCATGGTGGCCCTCTTTGCTGTGTGGATCATCAGAAAGGCCTTTCAGGTTCAGTTCAGCTTGGCTGGGGCATGGCTGGCACAGGCAGATAAGAGGAGGACTCTGTCCTCCTCAACACCTACATCCTGATACAGGAGAGGCATACATGGGGATTCAGCCGGAGAGAAGTTGGCTCTTGGCTGGCTTGGGATAGGAGAAATCTACTTCCACTTTCAGGGAGCAAATGTTAATTTTGTTACAAGAGGAATCTAAGATAAGTTAATGTTATTCAACACAAAGCAAGATGTTCTTTTAATTTTTCAGCTTATGGGAAATGATTCCCACAGAGTATGCATGTTGGATTGTTGTAAGTGATTTAAGACAACTTGAGATGCTAGAATGGAAAGTAATCCTAAAAGCTGGAAATAATTAGAGTTAGCCATTGTGTGGACAAAGCACAGCTCCATTTTGGCAACAGAGAAAGAAGAAACACTTTCATATTCAAAACTGTATCCAGGAATCCTGCAGCTATTTCTGTGGCTGATAAATACTTTTCATTCTTTCCCCACCTTCTTGTCCCCTTTTTTCTTTCTATTCTAATACCCTTTAGACTGCGCCCATTGCTAATGCATTCTAGTGAGGTTCAGAGTTTTCACAGCTACCAATGAGGCCACATTCAGAATTACTGTACAACCTTCAAAACTCAACAGGGCTAAGACTTCAAAGAGACCTGGTTGAGAATGATAAGCCGCAAGAGATGGAACATAGCATGGAAATTCAGGAATTAGTGGATTCGTCTGATGAGGATCTTGTCCTGTTTACCGATGAGTGTTCTTGTATGTGCCCCACAATGTGATGTCCAAGCCCTAGGTTATACATGTCCACCACAGCATCCCTATGGGACAGATAGGTATTGTTATCCTGGTATTACAGATGGGGAAACCAAGACTTAAAGTAATTTGTCTGTAGTCTGTGTTCTTACAAGGGATGCATCTAAAGGCTAAAAAGACATAAAGTACATACTGCTGGATGATGGTCAATCAGTTGAAATGGAAACTCAACAAAAGAAAGCATGAGGTAAGATAACTCAGGGCACTTTTACCCCAAAGCATCTACATTATCCAAATTAATTGTCACAATTATGCCTTTAGAGTGAGGTTTCTATCAATACGGTATTAGTCAAAATATCAGGTATCAGGGCTAGAAACAAAAGATTAGTGTCATCAGGTACTCTGGTGCCTCTGCTACTAACCACGCTGTTTTAAGTCCTAATTCGCTGTCTACTTCTTTCCTTTCTGCAGGCCCTCTTTAGGGAATTGAGCTTTATATTTTTCCTCATTACTCCATACACATGATTCAAATAGTTCAGCAGAAAACATGAAGACTCCCATTTCACCACACTTTCTGGCACTCCCAACCAAATCTTTTGACTACAGTGTTCAGGCTAGAGAAGATGAGGTTTCTGTAGACCTCAGATTTTCTGCACGCAAGACATTTCTATATCTGTAAAAGGTTCATTTATCTTTCCTGTCTGGTTTTATTTAACTGTTAAGTATCTTCCACTTTCATGGTTAGAATGGAAGCCGATACTGAAATGTGGTTACTAAAACTGCTTTTGTTTATAAACTCACCCAACTGGAAGTTGGAGGCATCGATGTCTGGGTCATGTAATTTAGAAAATCAGGGTACTGTGGTGTTTGGTGTGTACATGTAATATAAATGACTTATCATGTTTTTCTTCCTTTCTTTCACCTTTATCTGTATCAAAGGTTGCTTTCCTATTCTGGCAGAAATATGATTCTCATATATTCAGAAAGAGAATTATTTGTGAAATCACTCAACTGTAGAGGAGACAAGAGACAGCTAATTTCTATCTCATTTCATCTTTGATTATTAATTAGTTGGCTGAAAATTGCAGAAGGACCAATCTATATAAGAGGGGGGAAAAGATCACAGTAACTTTGAGTTGAAAGACATGGCTGTAAATTCCTTAGAAAATGCCAAATACTGAAACCATCTCCCTTATAAACATCTAATTAAATAGTGGAAATCATCCACCCATCAATTATGGATTTAGATATATTGACTCTTTCAAAATCTTAACCTTCATCTTGAGGGCTGGGATTTACAAATCCTGATACTCTCAGGGGAGAAATATCAATTACTTACCATTTTAAGGTCCATCTTAAGAAAAACAAAAGTTCTACATATAGTTACACCATTTGACTATCTCCCATTTCCATCTTTTTTTGGTTGTTTATGTGTTCTCATCACTAGCAAGAAATGGGCACTAGGCTAACGAGATAGCTATTAATTTATCTACCTGCTTACCTATACATCTCCAACATTTTAAATCTGACAACTTCTTTCCATTACTTTTACATGTTGAAAAGAGACAACATTGTTTTTCTACTGTTACAGTGGCTGTCCAGATGCCAAAAAAGTAGTGTTCTATAGAGCAAAATTCATGAATTTCTGATCTAGGAAAAGGGAAATAGAGTCTAAACTTGACAACTCTATTTCTAACACTGGTGGGTTCATGCTTCATTCTGTGGAGATGTTGAATATGTGGATCCTTAATCTCAAATCACAGAGAACATAGGCCCTGGTTTCCACAAGACAGTCATGGTTTATAGCTTTTCTAGGCATAAGTGTAAGTATAAACAGCAACCTCTTTCACTTAAAAAAATATCCCACTTGGAATAATAAATTATCTGGTCACTCTCTGCAAAATAAACAAACACAATTTGAAAGAAATGACTCATGGCACAAAGAGTGGTCTTTTTGTCCCAAGTCTTTTTGCAATACCTGGCACCTTTTTTCTCAATTATTTCATATGAACACGTGCACATGCATGCACACATACACATCTGTGAGGTAAGTTACAACTGTAATTCCCACTTTCTACTTTCAAAATGAAACAGGTAATCTTTGTGCCTTTTAATATTCTATTACACGGTTTATTGAATGTGTGATGGGCAGAAAGAGATTTCCTAAATGTACAAACTTTTACTTTCTACTAATTCCAAAAATTAGAGAAAAACACATGATTTTCGTTCACTGTAGGAATAAAATCTTTTCTTGGCAAAGTTTAGGGCATAAATCGCAATATAGGTAGGTCACAGGGAAGGCAGTACAGCACGGAGAAGACAAGTAATGGCTCCATAGCATCTTACTATGCTGACTGCAATGGGGTGGGTGGGAGAGGGGACTTGATAATGAGGGTGAATGTTGAGACCACATTGTTGTTCATGTGAAACCTTCATCAGATTGTATATCAATGATACTTTAACAAAAAAAAAGTTTAGGGCTTAATAAATAGAGTACAAAAACTACACTTTCACTGGCACCCCAAACACCTTCTCTTCCATTCACCACATGTTCCCATAATGCCTTTGACTGACTGTTCCTGTAACAGGCATATCTTGAAATTGCAGAATTCACAGAAAACACCAAGGACCTCAGCACCTTTGGGATGGGAAAACATTTCTTTGCAGAGAATTTTTAAATATAAGGCATTTATATGCAAAAATAATGACTGGTACCTATTAGCTCACAATTAACAATAAACATAGATCACACTTATGCTCAGACGTTCAGCTCAGTTTGGGATTTCCGAGGGGTTTTCATCTTAGATACATCTGTGTAACTTCCATAAAAAAAAAAAAACACTTGGCATTGTTAACTGAAAAAGAAAGACAATGTGCTTGGATTAGAGTTACTAATGAGGGGAGACTAACAAATGAATACTCCATTACTGAGGGGAAAGAACAGGATTTTGTTTTGGTGTTTGTAATGGTGGAAGTGAACTAAATGAGTAATATCTATAGAATGACTTTCTCATTTCCTTTTTTGTAATGCAGGCACATTTATCAAAGCATCCCCAAAGAATTAAGTAGCATTATGTTAAAAAGTAGGGCCATGATATATTCAACAAGAGCCATAAAATGTTAGTTTATTTCGTGAAGCAAATTTTATCAAAATTCACTATCTCCTTGAAATAGAACATAGCAAATAATCAAAACTAATGTCATGAATTCCATCTTACTTTTCTTTTGGGGTTCAGTTTTTATATACACCATTCAGAAATCTAAACAAATGCCTATAGTAAAGCCGGAAGACAGCCAGAGACAATATATTTATTTTACTAATCATTCTAAAACAGCTGAAACTAAGATTTAAATGTATCTGAGCTAAAATAAACAGCTAAAAATCCTTGTTAAATATATAGCATCTTAGGCAACAAAAATGTACAATGAGATAGACTTTTTAAAAAATGATCTATGACCTTCATATGTAACAGACAGTAGTTAAAAGAAACAGTTAATTCAAGTTGGGTTCTGAAGAAATAATGAAATGGATTAACTGTTCTCCTATGTGAAAGACGTAACAAAAAATTCAGTTCATATTAGCTCCAAAATAATACTGATAAGGAGTGTCCTTCAAGAAGGATTTTCTGATCTAATTGCTATTATCAAAATTGGTACAGGCTTAAGACAGATGCCTCTAATGTGTATCCACCATCCAGGCAAAATTAGGATCGGCTTTCCTTAAAGGGTTAGTAAACATTCAATTAAAAATGAACAACTATGAAGTATAAGTCAGCTCCTCCCCTAATAGATATCTCAGTATCTCAGAATTCCTGGAACTTTCACAGGGGTTAAATTTTACTGTTCACTTTTTAAAGTAAGGTGATTGAAGTCTTCTCTGGGATAAAATTAACTTTCACACGAACAAGTTCTTTATCTCTTGTTTCAACATTGGAAAGAGGAAGTGATGTAATTACCAGGCCATTTGGCTGATGCACCAAGTTTTCAACTGCTTATGGGAAAACAAAATTATTTCATTGATATTTGCAGTCAAATAATGAAATCACATCCTATTTTCCACTGTATATTCTATGCTGTTTCACGATGCTACATATATTTTACCTTCATTTTTCTTGATGGTAAAATTCGGATTGTTGACCATTTCTGGAAGAAGACTGTATAAGAAATAGTGTCCGTTCTTGGGATCATCTTTGTCCATGGCACTCACTGTTTGAATGACCTGTAACATAAAACCTGACATCAGCATTTCTGATGACATCAGAGGGCTCGAACTGCCTTTAAAGGCTGAGGGACATCCCCTGAGGGGACTGAGACTTTGGTCCAAGTACTTTTTTTCCTTCAGTTTTCTGAATTGTCATGGATGGTTTGTGCCAAGAATAAGGAGAAGCATTCATCATTTTCCAACCTCAGCTTTGATAAATTTATATCAAATTTAATTGAATGAAACTGATGAAAATTAAGGTCATTACCTTTGTGTCCATATGGTGTCTGTGGCTTGAAAGAGCAAATTTAAGGATATTGGAAAATCCCACTGGGCAATTACAGGTTTCTTTCCAATTTGAGTCTATACAGGCATCTAGAATGAGATTTGGAACTGTTACAGTGATTGTAAGGGTGGATCTTGGGAGGATCTTGGAGGCAAATGACCTACATTTTGAATCCTCTCAACTCCTCTTTCATTCTACTCATCAGATTACAAATGTTTGCCAAATAGAATGTTCCTCGGCACAAACATCACTGAAACAAACCTTTCTGAAGAGTTGCATCTGTTCCCTCCCCAGTCATGAACACTGTTTTTAAAGCTAGTGGGTAACACATGCAAACAAATGCTTTGGAGTGTATCCTGAGATGAATAAATTACAGGGATTAGAAGAATTACCACTGTGCAGAGAATTGTTTGGATAGATACACATACTTGGTGCTGGTTGAATGTGCTTATTTACTTTGCAAAGCTGCATTAACTTAGTGCTAAATTGTTTCTTGAGGTGTTGGAGACTTAGCTTAATAATTTGTAGTTATGATCCTGTGATATTAATCACTTTGATATGAAACACTGGGCAACAGTTAATGTAGTAAAAATTACAGCTTAAACCACTATTGTAAATAACTAAAAGATAATTTCTACAAAATAATGATGAGGAAATATAGAGACAAGGTGACATCAGATTTGTTATAAAAAAACAGGGAAATGCTCTCCGGTTTATGAAATTTAGATAATGTAATGACAATGCCTTATTTATGATGTCTGACTAATTTTGTCCCATTCAGCTTGGACAATTTCATTCAAGAGGAAAAACGAAGGATCACTTCTTTTTGAGCAAGGGGTGCTATGACCTTGTAACTTCATCACCTAAACAAGTGTGAGAACCACAATTTAAGAATGTTTTCTGCAGCTCTGGAGGTTTGCATTGTATCAAGCACATGCTGGATGACAAGCAGTGCATTGAGGTTATCTGAGGCATAAATGAAATAACCTCTCAGCTTGTATTTCTCAGTTTTTAAAATGAAACATATTCTTACTTTGACTTTTGTTAGAGACCCTAGGAAATGTCTTATAATTGTATTTAGTTTGAGTAACAATATAACAAAAAAAACACAAAATATAACTCATGGTAAAGACAACCAAGGTCCTTAAGTTGATGGCCTCTGAAATAATGCTGCCTGGATAGAAGTCAGTTTCACCCTGTACTCACTGGGTGACATGGAGAGGTTACTTAACTCTCCCTGGAACTCAGGAATTTTCTTTGTCTTCCTAAATTACAAATAAAAAAGGTACCTTTCTGATAGAGTTGTTTTGATTATTGATGTAAATTCATGTCAATCTCTACAGTGTCTGGTTCCTACCATATGTTTAATGAATTATTAGTCATCATTATTATTTTTTTATTAGGGCCACTACTATTTATTCATGGCATAGCACCTTGGTACATGTCACAATTTTGATGTCACCCAAACAGGGCCCTGGCCTCATGAGAGTAGATGGGAATATAATTATATTTACTATAGCTAAACACCAGGCATTTAAGTGTACAGAGAACAGGCTTCCACTTTTATAACATGGGAAGAATCTTAAGTACAAGGAGAGAAGCTGTAAAACACAGATAACTCTTTTAGGGATAGCCTACCTGTACAAATACTCAAGAATTTGACAGGCACCTTCTTTTAGGCAATTATAAAGTACAGTGAGGGAAAAAGTTACTTGTGAGCTATTGTAACATCCCCTTCTTCCTTTATCTAATTTTGTTTCAAAAGGACTTTTATTCCCAGGTGCTCCTGTTGAAGTAACTCTGGGAAGCGTGTGAGCACTTGGGAAAAAGAAGGGCAAAGGAAAAAGGTTTTCGTGATATTCTGGGGTGGAAATCACGCATAACTAAATTCATTCTTATAGTATATTTAACGGATAGAACTCCTAAAAGTAATACCGTTCGCAATCCCTCTATGTAATCTGCATGAAAAAGACTCATACATGCTGGTGAGTACTTCTGAGTTATTGGTTAGTTAATCTACCAAGACCAAAACTAAAGATGCCATAATTTAGCTTACCTGAAGTAAAGGAGTGTAATTACCTGTCATACCACATTTCATAAGTTTGGTCTAAACATTACACCTGTACGGAATGTTTTTTCCACCATTTATTAAAGCCAGGAACTCTGTTAAACATACAATTTATTGAGCCTACTGACCCAGAAAGTTTTGGGGCAGGGCCTAGATGTCTGCATTTTAAACAGTCTTCTAGATAATTCTAATGCATGCTTAAACTCTGAGATCCACTGTTTTGAGGTAAGGCTGAAAATTGGTGTTGACACTCCCTTGTTATTGACTAAGAAAGTTTGTGTTGTCAGGCTCGCATCAAGCGCAGTGCATGAAGTGTTGGGGAAAAATGATGACATGGTGAATCTTTAAATCAACTTCCCCAAATCCCATGAACTGGCTATAGTTAAGACTTTGGTTTAAACCATTTTTGACACTTCATTTTATTTTAATGCAGGTGGCCACTGCTGGCAACTTTATCTCACAGTAGACACCAGGCTCCATAAAGATGGTGTGTGAGGTAGATGAATATTACACAATGGACAACAAATGAAAATAGCTCTCTTTTAAAGTTACAATAGGAATCCCATTAGGTATAGAACTCTCATTAGTTACATGATAATCAAGAATAAGGCAGAAAAAGCAGCCAATGAAACTCAGCATTTTAGGGTTTCCAGTAATGACATTTTTTATACCAAATTTAACAACATGAATAAAATCCCAGAAGTCTTTGTATGCTTTCTGTTCGTTTTTTTTAAACAACATAGTGTAAAACCAGGTACATTCTATTCTTCTAAGAAGTTTATCTACAGTTGACAGATTTTAGCCTTTTTAAAAATCACTGGAAATAACTTAAAATGATTCTCAAGTGGATTTTTGGGCTTTTCAGTTTCCTTGATATAATTTCATGAGAAATGTTATTTTCAATAATTTACAATTTTTGTTTAGCTTTGGCTGAAACTTAAGTTTCCTTGCCACCTAATACTTCTAATTGGCTCACTTGCAATTCAAAGTATCTGATACATAATTATATTGTCCAATATTTAAAAATAAAGTCTGCGATCTGTCCTAAGGAAACAATTCCAACCTATAAAAAAAACTGCAAAGTTGTTTGTCACATTTTTTATCACAGATCCTACAAAATTGAATACAACTTCAATTTCTGAAAGTAAAGTACATGTTATAAATATGAGACTGGATGTAATATTACAGAGTTTAAGAGACACTATAGCAATGTAAAAAATCCTTGTGTGTATTAGATTTTTAAAAGCATACAAAAAAAAAGTAGATGCCTGGTAGATCATTTGAAGGACTTTATGCTATTAAAATGCATCAAGATACCCATGCTTAAAAGGCTGAAATTTTCATTGACATAGTAACATCTGAATACACTTAGCTTTAAACAATAGAATAAAAAGGAACAGATTTATTCAAGAAAGTGGATCTTCACACAGATGATTGTATAGGCACACTGAGTAGATGGCAAATGAAAACCACGCACACTTCCCACTGCGAGCTTCTGTGACATCAGTTAATTGTTAGTAATTGAACTATTTCATGGAAAGATACAAAAATTTCTGAAGCAGTCAAAGATTTTTAAGCCTAAGAATACAACATTTAGTTCAAATATATTTCTTTCTACCAGTAAAGTTAGGATGCAGTTGGAAATCTAATGTTTGATCATTTACTGTGAATTAATTTCAAGGGAAGGTGACCACTAATACACATCTCAGAAAAACAAAGCATATCTGGGATGTTGGAATAAGGAAATGAACTTCAGAGCCATGCTTGGAATTCTGTGGGAGCCGATACTGTTCTATTTCTTGAGACTACTGGTTTGAAGTTAAATAACCTTTTTAAGGCATGAAACTGGGGAAAAAAATAGGAGAATTGTGGAACCATATCACAATTCTGACTCAGTTTTATTAAGAATTATTAATTGTTTATCAATTACACTATACCTAAGTTGGACTGTTTTTATTTAGGAGAGTTTATTAAACTTTAGGCTATTTTACATTAATGCAAAATATTTAATAGCAGTAGGGTATCACTGTCATTATTAATCCTTTAAAAGGCAAGCAGCATGACAAAAAATACATTTCTGATGATCAGATCTGTTCACAACCATAA